ACGGGTGGAAAAACGCGCGAGCTCGGCCGAGAGGGTGAATATTAAGCGGAAGAGGCGGCGAGCGAAAAAGTGGAGGGCGATGATGCGCGTTACACGAGTCGATTGCGGCACGGCAGCGAGGCCCACGTTAAGGCGTGTAATTAACCGAGTAACAGAATCAGATACGACTGCTTGCTTGCGTGCACACGCCTCCCGCGGTGCCTTCTTTTCTCTCTCCTCCGCTATCGATAACGGCCGCCCTCGAATCGGCCCGACGCCGATTCTCGCCCGGTGCCCATTGTGCCATCCGCGACCGACTCGACCAACTGGAACAAAATTTCACGTCCTGCGCTTTTTGCGGATTCATCGTTCCATTTGCGAGACACAATGGAGCCCGTGTACCGATTTGCATTGAAATTGCGAGCCTCCAAGATTCGAATCTCTGACGAGGCGGGATCGAACGCGGGAAAACTCGCGCGCCGAGCTTGCCGTGACTATCCTTCGATTACGGCCAGCTCCTCCTTCCCGCTCTTTTGTTTCCGATACTCTTGTCACGATCCTTGATCTATTTTTTATCCTTTTTTTTTTTTTTTTTTTTTTTTTTTTTTTTTTTTTTTTTTTATAGTGGGAGGTGTTTTTTAAACACCAAACCTGTTATGCTAAGATCGCGTGCAATTAGTTAGAACGAATTTGACACTCGAGTTCGTACGACGTCGTTTTCCGAAGAATTTAACGCAAACGCGAAACTCTCGATGGATATTGGACGATAGTAGCTTTGGAATAATATCCGACTTTCGAACCGATGTGCCCGGAAATATCGAGAAATTCGCCAATCGCGTGTCCAGAGCAACAGTGTGTCAGCTCCACGCAGGCACGTCGTTAAAACGAAATCGAGTTTACGGTCCTACTCGAACGCGAACGATCGCATTAACGTTTCGGAACGATTAAACGAACGCGCGTACACGATTTTCGAATCGACGCGAGTCGAAAATACCCTCCGACCGACGCGATAATCGCTTCCCAAACGTTCACCGCGAATCCGAGTTTACGACTGGATCCTGCGATGGGTACTCGATGGGATAACTGGGAATGACGAAAGACGCAATTAAGGAGCGAGCAGCGGCGAGGCTGTATTCGAGTTTCGAGCCGATGCGACCGGGGGAATATGGAGAAATTTCGCAACGCGACCGCCGGACCGATATACGGTCGGCCTCCTCGGCCAACCTCCTCCGAAGATAGCGAGAGTTCACGGGGCAGGGGAACGCGCGAAAATATCGTCGTGTTGTAATTCGATCGGTCGATATTTCACGATCTCCGTCCGTGGCCTGCGTTTTACCCGGCCACTC